CTTCCATCCTGTTTGACGAGGATGCCTGGTCCTTGTGAGGGGTCCTTGGCTAATAGCTTGTGAATTCGTGATGTGCTTTTAGCACCATCAATCTTGCTAAAGAATCTTTTTTCAGATTCCCTTTTAGCAATTACAATTTGTTTGGCGTAATTATTTCTGCTCCTTTGCCATATTTCATGACAAATTGGACCTTGGGGTGTATCTTTTCGGGCTAGAAATATTCTTAATAGCCGTCTTGATTCCTTTCTCAGCCGAGCTAGATCTGAATTCCACCAGTTGTTTGCTTTCCTCTTAAGTTCCCGTTCTGGACATGACTGATGAAATGCAGACCTCAAAGTTTGCTCAAATGTCTCAGCTATATGGTCAATTCTCTCACGTGTAGAGAGATCCTGACACAAGGTACTAAGATTATGAGCATTTCTTCCGATCCGTCTCCTCAGTCTAGCCCAGTTCGTATACTTAGGGTTTCTAAACTTCTCTGAAGGTTTTTTGGCACATAACAGTTTGAGGTTGATCTCCCGGTGATCGGATAATCTGTCCTCTCTTACCACATGCCAGTCCTCCACTAAATTCGATAATGACTGTGTGGCCAGTGTAATATCTAATACTTCAGATCTGTTCCTTGTAACAAAGGTAGGTGAATTGCCCTTGTTTAGAATAATTAGATCTGTTGTTGCTATATATTCAAGAATTTCTTCTCCCCTACGGTTTGTGTCTGAACTGCCCCACACCGTATGGTGGGCATTGACATCACCGCCCATAAGTAATGTGAGATTGTTTGCTTTGGAGAAGTCGTATAGAGCCTTGAAACCTTCTCCGGGGACATCCCCATGTGTAGGGTTCTCCAGATAGAAGGAGCTCAGTATAATATGCGAGTTTGCTCCAGTTAAAATTCTCACGGAAGTGATATCTCTAGAACTATACTGTGGCAAGAGTATCACTTGTATGTCTCTAGTCGTCACAATACATGATCTGACTGGCTGGGTAGAATTGTTAAAACAAAACAGCTTCAACTTATCCGTGTCAACACCACTGACCTTGTTTTTCACAGTCCATGGTTCTTGACACAAATAAATTGTGTCTTGTTTTTTTGTTTGCATGTCACATAACGTTTTGCACATTAGTGCAGTCGCTGCTTTGCTATGGTGCAAATTGATTTGATTTACGCTAATCCATGCCATAGTATTCAATTGATTTGAAATACTGACATTAGATGTCGCGTTAGATGTTGATCTCACATTTGTATTAGCCATTAGACTATATAAAAGGAGTTCTTTGAGGACAATGTAACGAATGTGACATCACTTGGGGGATATATTTACATGTGTCCCCTTCCGCGGTCTTCATTCTCAAGCGACTGATCTGGAGGTTCCGCCTCGGCTGTGTCAGTAACAGATGTTTCTGTCTTCGACTTCATGTCCTGGACGGAACCTTCATCATCAAGACTGAGTGTGGATGTCTCGACTGCAACTGTGGGGTTTTGAATTTATTGCTTTTTAATTGTTTTTAAATTTATTCAACCGCTTGATTTTGTGCATAAAACTAAAGTCGACTTTAATCGACTTCTTTTTCAAGATAATACCATTTAATCAATGAAAAGGTCCCAGGTTAGCTGGCTGCCTAGATTTGATCTGCTATGACGCGGGTTTTTCTTTGCTGAAATACGCACAACAATTCTGCTGCTAAGCAACCGAATTGTAATGAAACGCTTAGAAGAATGTCACGGAAAATAGTAATATTGATTCCATATCTATTGAAAATATCGAGAAGAGAGTGTGTCATTTTTGAGCTGAAAATATTTCAAAACGAGAGTATGTCTTTTGTCGGTTGTGTTAATAGCAAAAAGGGAGTAAGTCGCATCACATATAAAAATTTATAAAAGAGAGTATGTAGTTTGACGTATTAAGATTGGCTTAAAAGAGAGTAAGTTGTTGGCCATATGAATTTAGCAAAAGGGGAGTATGTAATTTAACTGAATTTGTTCATAATAAAGAAGAGTTAGTATTTGTCAACTCACATTTAAAATAAAGTATGAAAATAGTTAAATTAATTAATATTTTTGGATGAAATATCAATCGCATATAATAGGCTCGCAGAAGCAGCTACACAGTTGCGTGAGTCAAAATACACATAAACTAACAAATCACAATAGCAAATGCCGTCGCTTCACTCACCCGTTGCCGTTTATGTGCTGTTGTAAAATAGGATTGTGTATTTATATACGAAGAGATTTAATGTTGCTGATTCTGCGCGCCTGTTACATTGGGATCGAAAAATGTTAAATATATTAACTATTTTCGCACATACTCACTTTTATTCCAACCAGAATAATTTAGTAACGTACTCTCCTTTATTTCCAACCAATTTGGATACACTCCAGCCAAATCAGATACACTCCTTTCGTAAAATTAAAATGAACAAAAACTTACTCCCTTTTATGACAGACTAAATTGCTCGAAATACGTGCTCTCCTTTAACCATTTTTACCATGAAAAAACATGCCCTCGTTTATCGTACTACAATTCCGAAAAACATACTCTCCTATCGATATTTTCGATAGATATGCGAAACAGTTTTGGGAAAAATATGAATAAATTCAGACAAAGTGGAGATTGTTAAAATTCTTATTGAAAACGGTGTCGATGTCAATAAAAAATCAGAGCAGAAAGATTTTCCTCTTTATATTTGTGCATCCCATGGTAAATAATGTGACAAAAGTTCTCATTGAAAGTGGTGCTGATGTAAACATCAACAATGAATATGATCAACCACCAATTTTTGCAGCTGCATTCAATGGTATATACCTATACTAGTGGTCCACATGCCAAGACGATGAAATCGAATGATGAAGCGAATAATCCAGCCGAACGTACTGTTGTTGCTGTAAACGATGAACAACAATTGGCCGAAATATTCAAACTTACCGTCGATTGTTTCGAAGAAGTGTTCGATAATTTATCGCTGAAGGATTTGGCCTCAATGGGACAAACATGTAAACAAATGCAACAAATTGCAGGTCATTGTTTTCAACGAAACTATGGAGCCAAACAAAATTTAATGTGGATGCTGGATGGTTTTACTTGTTTTCACTTTGGAGGTGTAAAAATAGATTGTTTTAACAACTTTTTAAAAACGTTGTGGTTTATGTTAAGGAGCTAAAATCCTATGCCGAGAGTTCTCCATATAATCCGATTAATTTTATAGCTTCATTGAAATATTCAACATCAATTAAAAAAATCAAAATGGATAATTTTCCTTCATACATTCTGACGTGGGTCCATAGGGCCCAGATTTCGAACGAACAAAAGACAAGAAAAAGTTTTTACCAAAACTCTCTTTCTTGTGAAACGCACTTTTGAAAGGAAGGAAACTATACTTGCGTAAAAGTATTTAATCTTATTTATTATTTTTCATTTTCATATATATTAACCATTATTTTATGTACTTTCTTTATTCTTGAATTTATTACCAATAGGTAAAACAAAATGAACAAATTAAAAAAAAAAGATTTTTTCTTTCAAAGTTTCAATATGTTGTTTTTCGTTGTTAAAATTACCCCCCCAAATTTTTGGACAAATTTCAAAATTACCCCCCCAGATTTTTCGGAATATTTTTAAAATAACCCCCCCCCCTAAAATCTAAGACGTCAGAATGTATGTTTTTCTTTAAAAATAGCTCATACTCGTATTAACGAAATGAAAGAAATTCTTAGTAAAGCTGAAAGCGTAACAATAATTCATCGTGATGAAATTGGAAATGTATTCGACGCATTGATTAATGCTTGCTCTTCAAATGTTAAATATTTATCTATAAAAGGAGATCCACGTTCACTAAGAAATAAAGACCAATTCCTGCATCGAATCTACCCATCATTGGAACATTTTGAATTGATGGACGTTTGTTGGGATGAAACACCAGCGTTAATAACATTATTTGAGCTAAACACAACAATTAAACAATTTTCTGTCGATATGATACTCTTCTGGTCAAACAGAGAGTTGTTCAAAAATTCGAACATACAACTTGATATATTGGCGATTGATTATGAGGTTGATGGAGTTGTGGAATTCGATTTATTTTGTCATTTGTTAAATGAGCTCTACGAACGTGGATTTTATAAGAAAATGCATTTAGTTTACTGTGGTGAGCGTCGTCAAGAATATATCGATCAATTGGCTTCGGTGAAGGGATTGGTGAAATTACGTTTCAAATATAGTGTACATGATATCAATTTAGGCGCTTTGAGAAACTTGGAAGAAATACGCCTCCTTGTGTATATCACTGATATGAAGTCACTTCCAAATATGCTCCCGAATCTGAAACGCATTGATTTTGCATTTACCGTTTGTGATGATGTTTTACCATTCGTTCGCCATGCAAAGAAATTGAACAAAATTAGATTTGAAGATCTTTATGATGGACCAAATCCCATTGTACATGTTAAAATTCTTGACTTAATTGCGTGGAATAAAGAGCGTGAGAAATTAGTTGGAGCACACAAGATCACAATTTACGTCGATGAAGATGTGTATTTGGCTACAAAATGGGCAATGAAACAGACGGACTTCAAATTGATCGAAATGAAACGACGTACATCGTACAAATGGGATTTCTAAATTTGAATTATTTTTCCCAAATTTTTTCTACTCAAATTAGTTTTTTTTTATTAAATGCATTTTTTTTATATTTTCAATTTAAAAAAAATTACAGTTTATATTTTACTTTTCAAATAATAAATCTAATGAATTGAATAACATAACATTCACTAACTGTTTCATATTTACTGTGTTATCACTGATAATTTATCAGATCTGCTATGCTTATTCCCTCTTTTAATGGTAAGATTGACTAATATTCCATAATTTATTGCATCTTATTTATTTTTTACATTTTCAAAACCGTCACTTTAATTGACTGCACAGAAAAACAATGAATTTAAACGATCATGTGGTTGAGTACACACTTTACTTAATATTTGAATTTCTACTTATTAATTGTCAGTTCATTGGAACGATGTGTCAAAATATTTCTTTGGAAAATAATCAATAGAAGATTGCATTCGCAGCTTAATATTCTCACTAAACTAAATTGATGGTAAGCATTTCGCATTTAATTCTTCTTATTTTCATCAGTGATTCGAATCACATTACTTGGTAACTGTGTGTTAATACATAACATTGAGACTTAAAATAAAACTTGTTCCATAGACTTGATGTAATGGAGCGATATACTAATACATCATATTGTGAAATACATGACAAACAGAGTAGATTGTATTACACTCATTGTTATTGAATCAAAATAATTCTGTAAGTATTAAATGAAATGTCTTTGTTTCATGTAATCACAAGATCGACAAACCAAACATCATGAACCAAGAACAAGACGCCGACCAAAGTGGATCAGGTGTGAAGAGAAGAAAACCAAGTGAAGAAGAGAATAGTCCAGCTGAACGTGCTGTTGTTGCTGCAAACGATGAACAACAATTGGCTGATATTTTCAAACTAACCATCGACTGTTTCGAAGAAGTGTTCGATTATTTATCGCTAAAGGATTTGACAGCTATTGGTCAAACATGTAAACGAATGCAACGAATAGCCGGTCATTGTTTTCAACAAAACTATGGAGCCGCACAAGCTGAATTTTGGAAAGAACATTTTTGCCTCAACGAAGTCCAATTAGATTGTTTCAACCATTTCTTACAAAATGTTGAGATTGATGGTGACGTTTTCACAAGCGATGAAGATGCCAGTGTGTCTGATGACTCTGATGACTCTGATGACTCTGATGACTCTGATGACCTCGATACCAAAATTTATCCATACAATCAGACAATAGATTTTGTAACGCCATTGAAACATTCAACATCCATTAAAAAAATCGAATTCGGTGATATTGATTTGGCATTTAGTCATATGGATGAGATGAAGGCAGTGCTGAGTAAAGCTGAAAGCATCACGATAGACGGTCTTTATTTATATCAAAATAAGTTTGATACTTTAATTGCTGTTTGTCCAAATGTAAAACATTTAACTCTAAAAGGATTGATTAATTCAGATTTTGGATACAGATGGATGCATCGAATCTACCCGGCATTGGAACACATTGAGTTGATAACGCTCATTAGATCAAAAGTACCAGAGCTAAAAGCATTTCTTGAGCTAAATACACAAATTGGCCAATTTTCTGTAGACAAAGGACTATTTTGGACAAACAGAGCATTGTACAGAAATTCAAATATCAAATTTGATACATTGGCGATTCACGATAATTGGAAAGTTGATTTCAATCGGTTTTGTAATTTACTCAATGAGCTCCATGAAATTGGATTTTATAAGAAACTGCATTTTTATTTTGGATATGGCATTCAACAAAAACATCTCGATCACATGGCTTCAGTCAAAAGATTAGTGAAAATTTGTGCCAAAATGAATGATCATGTTGCTGTTGGTGCCATGACAAGTTTGGAAGAATTGTATGTCAATGAGAGTCGTTTTATCACTGATCTGAAATCACTCCCACATATCCTCTCCAAACTGCAACGCATCGATTTTTACAAAGCCAGCTGTGACGATATTTTGCCATTTATTTGCCACGCAGAGAATATGAAGAAAATCAAAGTGTCATCACTCTTGAGTGGATCACATTTCGATGAAGACCATAAAATTCTCGATTTAATTGCGTTTAATAAAGAGCGTGAGAAATTAGTTGGAGCGCGCAAGATCACGATCTACGTCAAGGAAGATGTGTATTTGGCAACCAAATGGGCAATGAAACAGTCGGACTTCAAATTAATCGAAATGAAACGAATCACATCGTACGATTGGTCGCATGTATTTGAGTTGGATTGATTTATGAAAAACTTTTCTGTCAAATGACTCTTACTGAATCTTTTTCTTATGATTTTCTTTGAAATAAATAAACGAATGACAATAGAGATCGGTACGAATATCAACGTATCATGTACTTCTTATATATTTGTGTCCGTAAGAATAAATATGGCAATACAAAACGGAATCTGAAGAACGTTACATATTCTTTTTTGTATGGAGTTGTACTATGTAAAAAAAAATTATGTAACGTTCTTCAGATTCCGTTTTTGTGTTGCCATATTTATTCTTACGGACACATTTGTTTCAATTTAAACAATCAACGTTTTTATTAAATGCACATTTTATATATGTGTATATGTACTATAATCGGTAGCAATGAGGTTTAAGTTAAAAGATTTTTTCATAATATTGCCGTAATGAGGCGATGACTAATACACCAAATTGTGAAATACATGACAAACATCACACTATCACACAATTTATCAGTATTATGGTCCTTTCGCTTTTATTCATAAGAACACAGTAAGTAAATATCAGCCGACGCTATACGCAAAACCGACTGGAACGTGCGCTCATACGTTTTTACATCTTTTAAATCTCGTGACCATACGATTTTTCGACTGATTCGTTACTCTTTGTGCGTATCTTCTTTATCTATTCGAATATCAACATACAAAATATTTTTAATGCTTTTGTCTCAATTTAAACGATCATATGTATTATTAAATACACATTTTACTTAATATTTGAACTTGGACTTAAGAATTGTCAGTTCATTGGAAAACACTGACGTGTCAAATTGTTTATCAAAAAAGTAACTCAGTTGACATTTGAAGAAAAAAACTCGACAGAATAACATTGTATTCACCGGTTTAAATTTTCTACATTTAATTGAAGGTAAGCATTCAATTTCATTTTTTTGTGCTTATTTCTATTTATTTTCGTAAGTGATTGGAATCACACTATTTTGATTTTGAATGCAGTGTGGTAACAATGAGACTTAAGGTAAAACATATTTCATATACTTGACGTATACTAATACACAGAGTATTGCTCAGCGCTGCTGCCATCCACAGCATATTGAAATATCTTGCTGAGAATGCGTCGTCCGTCGCATGCGAATGTACGTAGCAGTTTATACACACCATTATCCATTGTTCTCTTCACGATTATGTGACTCAAAGCATTCAAACGATTGAATAGAGAAAACTGCATGTATTGTTGTTCGCTGTGATGTATAAACTGCTACGTACCTTCGCATGCGACGGACGACGCATTCTCAGCAAGATATTTTAATATGCTTTGGATGGCAGCAGCGCTGCGCAAAACTCTGCTAATACATCATATTGTGAAATATATGACAAACAGAGTGCTTCTTATTTTTAAAATTATGTAGTTATTGTAATACTGTAATAAAATCAAAAATGTGATTCATTCACTTATTTTTATTCATAAAAAAATATTTTATGTGTTAAAAGAGCATTCTTTGTTTCTTGTAACCAACAGGCCGACAAACAAGACACGATGAGCGAGGAACAAGATGCCAATAAAAGTGGACCAATTGCCAAGAGGATGAAATTGAATGATGAAGAGAATAATCCAGCTGAACGTGCTGTTGTTGCTGTGAACGATGAACAACAATTGGCTGATATTTTCAAACTTAACGTCGACTGTTTCGAAGAAGTGTTCGACTATCTATCGCTGGCGGATTTGGCCTCAATGGCACAAACATGTACACGAATTCAACAAATTGCGGGACATTTTTTTCAACTAAATTATCGAGCAGAAAAAGTATGGTTTGACAAAGATGGTTTTGAACTTAAAGATGTTAAGATAGATTGTTTTAACAATATCTTAGAAAACGTGTACGTTAATTCCCGGCTGCTCTCAAGCAATGAAGATGAGTCTTTTTTGATTCCGTTGAAACACTCAACATCAATTAAAGAAATCGAATTTGATTTTTATGATTGTGAAGATTTTTCTATTGACATTTATAGAATAAAAGATATCATCAGTAAAGCTGAAAAAGTAAGCTTTCGTTATGGTAAAGAGATGTTTGATGATTTGCTTGATCTGTGTACAAATGTGAAACATTTATCTTTCAAAATTGGCAATCACGATAAAGTTCAATCGATGCGTCACATTCATCCAAAGTTGGAACACATTCAATTTTTACCTTTCACTACGATAAATATACCGGCCCAAAAAACATTCATCGAGCTGAACACGACAATCAAACAAATTTCCATCCACTCCGACCTATTATGGATGAACAGAACACTTTTTAAAAATCTCAGCCACAAAATTGATACATTGGCGATTGATTACTTTGAACATGAAAAAATTGAATTCGATCTATTTTGTCGTTTTCTCAATGAACTCTATGAGTCTGGATTTTATAAGAAACTACATTTCATTAAAAGCATTCGAATTCAAGAAGATATCGATCAATTGGCTTCGGTAAAAGGATTGGTGAAATTATATGTTCGAAATTACGCGCATGTTGGTGCTTTGAAAAACTTGGAAGAACTATGCTCCATCTACAGTGATTATATTGGTGATCTGAAAACACTTCCACATATGCTCTCAAAACTGAAACGCATTCATTTTGAATATTCCAGTTATGATGATATTTTACCATTCATTCGCCACGCAGAGAAAGTGAACAAAATTAAAGTAGAAAGTTTTCGGCATGGATCGCATTTCGATGAAAATTATAAAATTCTCGATTTAATTGCGTTGAATAAAGAGCGTGAGAAATTAGTTGGAGCACACAAGATCACAATTTACGTCGATGAAGATGTGTATTTGGCAACAAAATGGGCAATGAAACAGACGGACTTCAGTTTGATTAGAATGAAACGAGAAACATCATATGATTGGAAACACTGGCTTTTATATTAGATTTGAATTTTTTTTCTTAGATTTTATATTTTTCTCAAATGAATTTTGTCGAATCTTTTTTTATTAATCCGAAAATATGTAGTCTAATCCAGTAAAAACCCAAATGAGAATAGAGGTCAGTACGAATATCAACACTTAATGCCTGTGTCTCAATTTAAACAATCATGAATATATACTGAAGTTATCACATATGCTACTTATTGTTACTTTGAATATTTTTCAAGAGAAAAAAATGTCAAACCATTCTAATAAAATGTCTAAGATTCATAAAAATAAATGCGCCAAACTGAATTTATAGAAAAAACAAACAAAAATCTTCGTTTATTTTATCAATGGCTTACATTAATTTTACTTAAACCTAAACAAGAAAATGTTAAAATTGTTCATTAAAATAATAATTTATTCAACAAAAAAAAATGTCCAACGTGTGAAATATCTTCGATGTTTGAAGAGAAAGAGAAAAAGAATAGAATTTTACATTCATTAAACAAAGTTTTAAATCTTAAATCGAACAATTCATTTTAATAACGCTAATATAATTGGTCAAATACGTATATGTCTACAATTGTAATGAGCCACAGACCGAAAAAAATATATCATCTTTTATCGTTAGTCTGCTGATTGTGTTTATTTTTTTAAAAATTTATAAATAACAAAACAAAATATAAATTGATAAAGGTACTCAGTTTTCGTAAATATTTTAAAAATGTCGATGGAAAATTTCGTCGAAACAAAGCGAAGAATGGTCTTCAACTGAAAAAAATTGAACACATGTGAGTCGATCCAAACGATAATACTCAATCCGTACAATTTTCACTGCACACCATTCACGACAAACAATTTGTTAACTGATGACTCTGCAGTTGTTCTCGAATTTTCATTTTGTTTTGTAGCTTTAGAATTTTTTTTGCACTAAACCACTATCGATCTATTTGGGCGTATGTTTTTCTCATTTCGATGATCCATTCGCCAATTTCTTCAGACACTGATATTCTTCAAAGAGATTTTTCATATCACTCAAGGCCCGTTCGATTTGCTTTGAAAATTTGACAGAGTCCTGAAAAACAAAAATTTTTTTTTAAATAATCCACTAGAATATTTCCATAAAAATGTCAATTCAATTCCATTCAACATTCCATTCTGTTGGCCGTGACTCGTGAGGATTACTTACCGTAGTCGCGCAACTGGTTTTTGATGATATGTGGAAAAAGAGCAGATCTTCTCCGGCAATGATGTATGAGACACCATAGCCATCGTCAGCTACCGGACCGAAGCCGCCTATTTTGAAGAACGAAAACATTTAAAATCGATTTTTTTGCTTTGATTTTTTTGTAGAAATCAAATTGAAAGAACTTCAATGGAGAAACTCACCACCAGCACTAATGCATTCAGGATGTTTGTGTAGGTCCAGTTTACTGGTTTGGCCATGTGGGGTTTGACTAGTTGACAATCGCCAAGGTTCGCTGAGAACTTCCTTTAAGAATGGCGAATCTAATTCTAAATATTTCGACACGACATACAAACAGAATAGATGTCGATCGATTCCTTTACCGCACATCGCATCTTGGTAACCTCTTTGATGTCGTTGGCAAGCCTTTTGTAGTAGCGCAACCTTTTGCTCGGTCTGTCTCAAAGAAAAGAAAAAATAAATGAGATATAAAATATTGAATGGAAAATGATGCGAACTAAAAAAAACTAACCGTCACAGTTCCGTCTGACATAGATTTCACCCATTCAGCCGATTCAATGGTGCACGGCCGAACGGTTTCAGTACGACCTTCACGGAATAGACGTGTCATCGATGCTTCGTATGTTAGTGAAAAACGTCCAGCGTCTCGGTAGTATGCCAATTGCAAGGCCATTTGGATATAAGCATCGGGTGATACACGGCATGTCTTCATGAAACCCTTGCCGTAGTGATCATGCACATAAATACGAAGTTGTAAATCGTTGAGCAATTTTTGAGCATCTGTATGAGCTGAATTGATGGCAGTTTGGCAAGCATCATTATTTAAGTCCCATGACATACGTTGCGGTGATGGTGGCTGGAATTCAATTGGTCCGTTACAGTTTCCACTTTCGTCGTATGGATGCTCAATCACTTCGTCCATTATATTATTTTCCCAAATGTGAGCCATTACAGCTGCATCGGCCCTGTGATTTAAAACAATAATTGATTTTATTAATTTCTTGGAAATGATGGCAATAAGGTGAGGCAATTTTATTCAATAAGGTTCGAGTCGATTGACTTCTGGACTGCTGAGGAGGCAAATAGGTTACCAAATTTTTTTTTATTGAAATTTTAAATCAAAAATTATAGCAATGGTCAGCACCCTATGTGGAGAAGTTTTTTCTAGCGTTTTGCCATGATTTTGGAATTTAAAATTATTTTCTTGAAAAAAGTCGATTTTTTTTTTTAATTTTGGTTTAGACTGGGGTTGATTGACAGAGCTGTTGAAGGCACCACGGAAGTGCAGTCATTTTTTGTAATTGCTGCTCTTTCTTGCATTCACTTGCGGCACTTGAAAAATTCTATAAAATAAGTGCTCGAACTACTACGGTGCCAAAACCAGCTCTGTTGATCGAAGAAATTAATTTTGAATCAAATGTCAATTTTACCAGGTGTGTTCAGCATTAAATCCAAGTCGTCCATTGGTACCGACACAAAGTGTGAAATTCTTGTCAAACCATCTGTTATGACCGTTTCCATGCAATAGCGATTTTCCAAAATGATCTAAGGCACCTTCCTTGTGAATGTCTGTGTCGTATGACTCGTCGTCCAATGACAAAATGAATGCAGCCGTTTCAATTGTATGCAAGGAAACCCGATTGATACCTTTGTTGAACAAAGTATTTCTGACTTCGGCCCATTTCGTACGGTCCCATGCGGTCAATGATGCCAAGAGCTCTTCACCGGGCAATGGTTCTGATTTTGAGCTCAAAATTTCTTCTAATTGTCTAAAAATAGCAAAAAAAAATTATTATTATAATAATTTAATTTTTTTTTCTATTTATTTTTAAATTTCTCTATTTTTTTATTTTCTCAAAATTTTCTTTTAATTTAAATTCACGACTTTTTTCAATTTTTTGAAAAATTAAATTTAAATTAAATTAGTTGAATTAAAAAAAAAATTACAAATAAAAAAAATGATATGGTTATTTACACTTGAATTTCTGGTGCTTTCAAAATGCGCCCTTTGTAGTATATGGTGACCTTATAATACCGTCCCTTATGCATAACAACAATATGATTTGAGTCTTGGTAGTGAATGATGCGATCGGTTTCAATGCCTATAGAATTCAAGGAAAGTAATGATTTAATTACTCACATTTATTTAAATTTTCCTTTTGCTTCGTACACTCTATGTACAGCAACCAAATAAGTTACATTCCGTTTGCATTCAATAAAATCGAATTATTCAGACGGAACAAAAATTTAAAAAAAAAGACAAATCCGTCAAAAAAAATTACCAGGAATGCGAACGGTGTTGAAAGTGCGTTCATATTGCCATGAGCACAGTGGAACAAGTCCTTGCACCATGATCGGTTGCAATTCTTGGCGATCGATCAAACGACGGAATCTCAACAGCAAATTAACAGCAACAGCAGCTCGAGCCGTTTGTACATTGGTATTTGATAAGAACAATGCATCAATGCCGTAAAAATTACTGTTAACCATCAATGGACTGCGCCCACGCAAATAAACATACTCTTCCCACCAATCGGATACATAATTACTGCTCCACCAACTCTTCAACATTAAATAACGTTGTAATTTTTGTCCGATGGAACGTTCAAAATCTTTGGCCAATTCTTCCATGCGTTTATAATTGTTGTCGTCAAGCAGTGGACGAACGGAGTCAAGGTAACGAGCTAATGTTTCATGCACACTTGGCAATGGTAATCGTGGTAATGATCCCTGGAAACTATACAATCCAGGTTTGTTCCAACTTGATAGGACTTTGGTTGCGGCCCCCCATACTCGTGTTGCCGTTGATATCTTCCGACCCTTTTCACGCGATTCATACATCCAGCCTTTGTAGATTAACAACAATTTTAAGGTGTAACGCATAGTGAAACATATGCACAACCAAAATAGGAGACCAGTTATTGAACACGCCACCAAATGCCATGAAATCGAATCTCTGGAAGAATACAGAACGAAACAAAGAATTTTGATTAATTTTTTTTTTTTTTTGGAAAATATGTAAGCTTTAATCTCCACATCTTAGTCGAGCACATTACTTGATCTATGATCCGAAGGAAATTTGAAAAAATAGTCTTACCCCGGTAGCCATGGTAGAATACGATTCGCCAAGTCAAATGGCGTCTTTTTCCCAGAGAAATGTAATGCAGCCGCTATCGATATGATAATCCATAAGCTTTGTAAATGTGCTGGATATGCTCCATTTCGAACGCTATTCTGTAATTTTTAACAAAAAATCGTTTAAAAAAATTGATTGACGTATGACAATGACAAAAGTTTGCTCATTGAAGTTCCGGTCCACAATCTCCCAATAGAAAATATACTTACTCTTAGTCTCCCGATGCGTTTCTTCCACGATCTAATGCCCGAATCCCAAACAAGATTGAGCACTTCTCGATCATAGTTGATATCCCAACCTTCATGTGTAATTGAAAATGAGAATGCAACTGCTTGATGTGCTTCAGCCATTTACACCGTTTTGTATTGCCTTCAACTCCGGTTAAAATGCTGTCGATTCCGTCCAATTAAATTGACGTGAAATCAAAAGAAGCAATCGGTTCAAAATGCCAATGCAATAGTAACCGGAATTGCGATGCGTTCAATGTCAAACTGCTGAAGCGAAGCTCCAAAACTGAAAAAAAAATTAATGAATTTATAAAAGTGAATAACATATTCGACCTTTAAAGACAAAAAATTTATATAGTAAATAACAATCATAAATATTATTTACGAAATTGCATATTATTTTTTCCATTAAAAGTGCAGTTTAACATTGTTTCGGTACCTTATGTCTTGTTGTCTATATACTATATTATATTTATGGCAGAGGAAAAAAATCGCAACTTTATAATTCCATTGTGCGCTTTCTGATAGAGAACTCGTTTCAGAATTGCAATGCGTTTTGAATGGTGCATTAAAATGCACAAAATTACGGTGCGTCGCTTCACCAAAGTTTCAACACTCAATTACGGCATGCACATTATTCAAACAGCGCAACAGTAATTTTCATTGTGCATGCGGCTGCACATGCACATGCACAGACACTGAATCAAATTATATGGAATTTGATTAGAAACAAACACGAAACGTACAAAACTAAAACAAAAAAACACATTTCCCAGGCAACGAAGAACAATGACTTTTTACCTCACACAAAATAACTCGATTTGCGACTTTGTTCTCGCATAAAATCACTTGATTAAGTGATAAAAGTGCCACAAAGTCCAGAGTGTTTGCTCACAAACAGGTTTTTGAGGAATTTCAGCGGAGCGACTCGGTTTTTTTCTCGACAAATTGACTTTTTTTCAACGGATTTATTTTTAGCTTTTATACTTTTTTCGGAACAGTTTTTTATATTTTTAAACGTATGAAAGGTATTCTTGGTAAATCCCTTTAAATAGTCTTTAAAAAAAGTTTGTGAAACCACCATTGTTTACGTAAACACACGTCGAACTATTTTGTTTTTTAGAAACATTCGAAAAGACTTTTTGAACTCTACCAAATTGCGTATTATTTATCTGTGTATCCTTCGAAAAATGCCCAAAAACATCTAATTTCATTAAATTCCATTGAAATTCCTATAAAATTCAAATGAAAAATATCTGTAATCGAAGTCAAAAAGTCAAATTGCGCGCCAAATTTCGTATTTAATCGAAACCCCACGAAGGTGACAAAAAATATACGAAAAATCGTCCAAAACGGTGGACATTGTAATTGTCATTGAATTTCGAACTAGGAGCTTCTTGTTGATCCCATCTAACTACTCACAAAAACAACTAACAATACCACATTCAATATACAATTGAAATGAGCAAAAACAAAGCGAATTTGATAAACAACGAATCGAACAATATAATAAGATACCAATTTGTAATTACAATGTTGTCGCGTGTAAAATCGATAAGTAGAAAAGGTCGTGCCAGTGAACAACCTGTATGTATGTAAGCGATCAATGTGTAATTCAAACGTCGTTGTTGTTATTACTTCAATTGTTTGGTGGTGGTGGTGGTGTTATTGTCATTGTTGTTGGCGGGGGGAAATTTGTGCAATTCTCAAGTGTGGCACACACATGGTGTGTACGAAGTGCGCGATAATGACCGTTGTTTTCGAGACTAATTTGGAATGTTGGTGCCGACGCAACATTGTTTACATTGATTTAATCAAAACCAGTTTGTGACCAAAATTATTTTTTGTGACGGTTCAGTCGAGACGCTCAAAATGTGAGATGAAACTCGTAACATGATCAAATTGAAACAAAACAAATTTCCAAATTCACCTTGTACAGCTCCAAAAAATGATTTCAATCTTTAGTGACTTTGACTTACATTTTATTTGGACACATTGAAAACAATACACGCTAATCAATCGAACGAAAAAAAAAGTCTCATGATAAATAAAAATGTGTAATTTTCAGAGAACTGTTTCTAGAATCATAATTATCAGTCATTATTATTGTGAAAATATACGTTTAATTGCGATTTTGCCTCTCACTACTTCAGTGATTATTACACATTAATGGAAAAGTTTGAAGAAAAAAAATTGAACAAAATTTGAATTGAATGCCAAAAAGCCGACTACTGTTCAAGAGATGAAAGCAACCTATGCCAATAACAGGCTCGGCTGGCCCTTCTAGTCCTAAATCATTTAGTTCTCAAATTTGAAATTCATAATTCGTTTACCGGGTCTATGGCAGTTGTGAATGATCACTTCGGTCGAATTGTTTTTAAGATAATTTGCTTTCACTGACGCTAAGTCTTTAAAATTTGAGATTACTAATCCGTCGATTTTTTTTTTACTTTTATCGATATTTTTGTCACGAGAAAAAAAATCATTGGAAAATCCCAAAAAATTTGATAACTCTTGAGATTTTTTCACCACACAGTGAGTAATGTAGTCGCAATAGGTGTTTTTATCTCATAAAACAGTAGTGATTTATTCAATTTCATTTGTTTTTTTTCAAACTTTTCTATAAATGTGTAATAATCACTCACTACCTCAGTGAATTCATAATAATTAAACGTATAATTTCCGAAGTAATCATGATTGATAATTACCAATTACCACACTTTCCTTTATTACGAGACCTTTTTATTCGTCGATTGACGTCAATTTGGTTCTAACTTTCAATGTCTGTCACTTTGTTTTCCATATCATTAAATTCAGAAAATGATTAAAAAATACGAGCAAAATGAGGCGATCTAACAAAATCTGTTTTGTTTTGGCAAAGAGTTGTTGTTTTTTTCCCTTTTAACATGATTCTGATGTTGTAACAATTTTATTTCGATTAAAAGGTCACAGTTTTGCCTTTCGACAGCTTTTAAGTTACAAGTCCGATTTAAGAATTTCAAGTTCAAATATTTTGCTTTGGCCAATTTACAAGTAGCAACTTACTGTTTTGAATTGAATTTGTACAATAATATGGAAAAATGTACAAAATTAAGAGATTTAAGAGGCTTTGTACAATTCTCGATCAAAACAACCATTAAATGAACTGTACTCAAAACGATGCACTTTGTAAATCACATCGGTTTGAGTTAAAATTGTCAATTAGCTTATCATCGTTGAGATATAATTGTCGTATTCGTTTAGAACGTGATTTGAATGGCGCTTTGACCATGTTTTGCTAAACATGCCGAAGCAAAAAAAAAAACAATAAACGTTCAAAGGGTAGGCATTGAACGAGTTTAAAAAGGCAAAACCGCATATTTTTGCGCCGTGCTATTTGGTTCCGCAATAGATGTTGTAATCAAAGTGCAAATTTTATAATTGCGATTGAATCAGCTGTGTTTGTTTTTTAATTGTATTTTGTCTATTTATCGCTTGTCAATAGAACAGCGAATAAGGTGATAAGTAAAGTACGTAAATTGATTGGTGTTTTTACTGTTTTTTCTTGTTTATTGCGGAATATTGTATGCATTTGAAAATATACGAAATTTTGAAGCGTAAAAGTGACCTTTCGAATCACAATGCACGGTTCAATTTTACCATTTATATTTAAGCAAATCGCCTCGTCTAAATATAGATACGGTATTTTGAGAAAGCTAAAAACCAGTTTTTCTGGCAAAACAAAAAAGTACATCGATCATATACGAATTCATTCAACGGCAAAAAAATGTTACAAACAGTTCGGTTATCATGAAGTTTATGTCATCAAGTTCATTTCTCCTGCTATCACTTTTTGGCTCGCGTGCAAGCCTTATCGCAAAGACGGTCAAAATCTATCTCCGTGAGAGTTCCATAGACATTAGAACCCGTGTTTCGTGCGCGCACACGAGTTAAATAGGTCGAGAGAGCGAGAGAGAATAAACAAATGACGTTATGAATATAAAATTGTGTGAAGGCAAAATCAGAGCGAATCACATGCAGAAGATTATTTAAGTCAGTGATTTGTTGACGCACTTGTATCATGAAGACAAAATACGTCCACAAACGCTATCAATTATGTCGAATGAAACGCAATAAGTCGCGTTTCAAAGTTCATCGCTCACAATACACCGAAGCGTTAAATGCAAACGAATCGCGAGCACATCGTTGATTAGAGTTTATGGTCATTTATATTAGAAATGATTAAAAGTGACCGCAGAGTGGAAATGTGTAATTTATTTCATGAAAATAGTTCGATCGAATCGAAAAATAACAATCAATCGTTTCGCTCCTGAATTCATTTGGCTTCATCGACCGTTTTGATGCTGGGAATAAGCCACTTTGTTTGCGAGATTGATGAAATTGCACAAAGAATGATGTGAATCGAAAGAATGGTGACAGTAAACAAGTTACTCGATTTGGGAGTGACGATTTACTCGCAAATGATGATTGTAGTACATGACGCGCTTGCACACGTTCGGAAAATCAACAACGAATATGTACACAGCAACAGTTGTTACATAATTTGCTTCGTTTCGAGACCACTTTATTAAAGCCGTATATAGAGTGAACGGTTTTATCAACATTTCACTTGATATTATAAATAATTACGATAACATCTATTTTTTGCCAGTAACTAGAACACACTTATTGTTTCTATTAACATTGTATGTGTGTATGTGGAAAGAAACTACGATGCAAAACTTTTCAACACACATAATTTATTGCAATAAATTCACGAGCAAATAACACATTCCAATGGGCCAAGAAACTTTGAACATTCTGTATTTTCAAGAAATCATCGCACAACGTTTATACAACAATCGCAAAATTCATAGAGGGAAAAACTCCACTTTGACTGATTTATAAATTCTGATCAGTTTCAATTCAGTTTCTATCGCACTGACGTCACACACCGCCTTTCTACATAGAGCCCGATTAATTTGAATTGTAAATCGATTTTATGATTAGGCAAAAAAACCGATACGTACTCAACAAAATTATTATTATTTATGCGACCGAATTCCATTCAACCGTTAATTGAGTTTTAAATTGTCATGTTTCTATATTATGATTACGAATATGTAAAAAAAACTCTATTTTGGAGTGAAGAGAATAAACAACAGTTGATATTGAATAAAATACATTTTTATGCATTCAAATCGATGATGAGTCGGCACAACGTAATAAAATCATTGCATAATCTTTCAGAACTATCGATTTCAAGCAAAAAATGAAGAATTTAATATTATATTCCATTCAATAATGAATGTTTCCCAATTGAAGAAAAATTGTTGCTTTCACATTGTTCAATGTCGCTGAGTTGAATGAAGTGTTTCGGCTAAAAAAATTTAACGCCAAAATGAAAAATTCATTTTTTTTACTGAAAATTGTTGATTTGGAAATTGGATATTTTGTTTTCAGTTTCAAAATGTTCGCACCAATTTTTGTTTGAAATCGCCACTGCGTTGAAAATGTTACATTTTTCAGTCGAATTTGTGTCAGTTTCTTTCATCCTTTCTCTAGTTTCATCGATTTTTTTTGTTTTACACTTTCGACAAGTTTTCATCATTTTCGATTCACGGTTTTTGGCATGGAATCTTTGAAATAGTTCAAAATAATGTATTCCATCTCATTTAATGTGTTTATTTAAATAATAAATTGTTTGGAAAGATAAAAAGCCTTGATTCTATCTGTCCCGTTCTCCTATCTCCTCTCTTCAATGTTAACTAGCTAAACCTTCATCAGTCCCATTTATCGCTTGCTTAGTAATCGATACCAATGAATTTTTAATGAAATGAAAAACCAAACCGTTTTCATAGATTACCATTGTGATTTGAAGAAGGTTATAAACTTGGAGTCCAACAAAGGTGAAGTGCACCATATGGACAAATACTCTAGCTTTATATGCTTTATCTTCAATTCCGGTAGTTGAATCGTTGAATGTTATAAGTTAATGTAAAATTGTCTTCTTCCCAAAAAAAAAAACGCCGATGACTAAATGTATTCACTTGTGTTTATGAACAATATCTAATGAAGAAACCCATTAAAAACCAATTTGGTGTCCGAGATTCGCTACTTTTTTTTCTGTGTGTTGGTCATAATATCCCGTCTTTCGCCCGAAAACGAGTCGTAATCGTAAACGTGATGTAACGAGTGAAAAAAAAAAATCGCGCAACACGCGCAAAGACAAAAAAGACCGTTTTATGACTTTTTATTGTTGAAATAAATGGCAGTTTAATACGGATAATGATAAAAGTTAAAGTATGACAATGAACAGTTTTCAAATAACGACCAAATAAAAGGAACTACTTGATGCACGGATTTTGTAATGTAATAGACAACGATGATGATGATGAAGGTGATTGTGATAAAAAAGTGATTAGAATAGCACGGTTTGTAAATAAACAAAGCGAGTAGGAAAGAGAGAAAGATATGGAGATGTGAAGAAAGAGAGAAAGCAATAGAAAAGGCTGTTTTCAAAATATGTCTTGACTTCGCGCACGTATTATTTTGTTTTCTTCTGTGAATCTATGGCGGACTGTCGAGGTAACGATAATCAGATAAACAAAGTGTATATTTGTTCATAACATGTTCGACAGACCCGTGAAAAATCACCAATCGTAAGTAGATTGAATTCGATTCAAATTCGAAAACAAGCACTCGAGAAGGCCGACTCGATTTTGGTTACGTGTATGTATATAAAATGAATTTCATCGCTAAAAATTTTACGAAACAGCATAGAGTGAGAGCGAGAAATTGATTGCAAAACAAGTCCAAAGGTCGATAAATCAATGCAAACGAACACTAAACCACACATACGATCGGTGTCGCGCACTCACGACCAATTCGATTCATATACACAAGCTGCCATCATAAGAATGATATTCGAAAATATTCAAAATGTTTGCACACGAAAAACCCCAACCGACGATATTTACGTTTCTTCTTTTTTCTTGCCAAATTTACATTTGTGGATTGAGAAAAATATTAACCGCCGGCATATGTCAGTCTGGTCAAAGTCTGATACTTTGGTTGAATATTTTTAAATTTAGAATTTGCATCTTTTCTTATCAAATCTAATAAATGTCAACGACAAATACGGATTCTATGGCAGATTCAGTTTTTGTTTCTCGCTCTCTTTATTAGACTTTTTCTATTGTATGGTCTCTTTCAATTTGTCTCTGTCACTCGGTCGCGGTGAATTTTCGCTCATTGTCTCTTCAGCGACTTTCAAGTTAGTTAGTTGTTTTGTTCAAGAAACTACAATCACCAATCACAGTAAATGTGTTTTTCATTGTCTCCACTGTGAAAGAGAGTTTTTTGCACTTTTTCCAACCGTTAGTCACAAGTCATTGTAAGAAGCCGTAGAAGAAGAAAAAAATACTCCCGCCGGAAACATATTCACATTTAATTTGAACACCTTTGACCGTATATGTTTGCATGACGGTCGGTTCGTCTCCCATCATAAATATATAGTTTATGCATATGGGTATTAAATGACACTGTTCAACTGGACGAAACAATGACATCGCTCATTTAATACTCTTGGGTGCACGAATCACGCTTTGCAACTCACTTCATGCACACTTTAAGGAGTATTTAAAAAATCATATTTTGTATGGCATTTAATTACACCTTTTGCAATGACAGGTTTTGTTCTCGAATTCTAAAATTATATATATTTTTTCTAAGTCAATGTACTGCGTTTCCGATTTTGCATGTCATACCGTTTGCAATTGCCTATTTCTATATCATTTTCGCTCTCTAAATTGGCCGAAAGAGATGCAATGCGGTGTAATTTTCCAAAGTGCAATTAGCTACTTAATCATTTAAATGCAATTAAATCATGTCTGTTCGCTCATTCAATTTGCAATGAATTGCTGTCAGACATTCCGCTTAGCGACGACGAATTAAAACACATACACACACTGTGAGCTGCACATATGTACACACGTAATGGAATAACGAATAAAAAAAAATGAGCATAAAAAATGTGGAACTAGATATGGAGTGCAAGAAAAAAAAGAATGAAAATGAAAAAAAAAAGAATGTTGTACCCAAAGTTTAAGTTGCACGTGCACTATTTATAACACCACGTCAATAAAAATCCAGCGTCGTATGAATGGAACGGCGGCTTGTTGAAAAACGACGATTTTTTTTATCCCTCTGTCTCAATTGTTTGTGTCCCTCTTCAGTTGGGTTATGTACGTGTTTGGCACTTTAAAACGTGTCTTAAATGTCTTTTAAATAATTAACGACAAAAATCGATCGAAACCGAATTGTCGCAACAAAAAAATCTATATCTATCTCTCAATGTCGTTGAAATTCACTTGAAATACTTTCAATCACACTATTTCTTTAATTAAACATAGTCTCTCAATTTAAAATTGTAATTCATTCATTCAGTTTGGCTGAATGAATGCGTCTTCACCCCGAATCGACAACAAATTAAAAATATTTTTTCGAAATAAAAAAAAATGAAATTTACAAAAATGAAAAAAGTTTAAACAAAAAAAATTCAATTCGGACAAATTTTGCGTCGACAATGTTTCACACACTAATTGACACCACAGCAGTTTTCTCATTACTAACTCAACTGAAACACAGTTCGGCCGTGTTAATGCTCATTTTTTTAAGTTTTCTCACTCTTTCATTCTTGAACACACACACATACTCACACTCCGTTCGGTCGCATTCATTCTTCGCTATGGTCGCACACGACTGTGATTGTATTTCTTTCAAATACGGTGGTCAATACACAAGCAACACAAAACCGATTATGAAACAGACCTCCTAAACTAAATACATCACCGAACAATAATGAACACACGCTTACACACAGAGGTATGAGTATGTATTTTGTTTTTCTTCAACGAAATATTATAATGCATGCACAGACAGTCACTCATACCCGTCTATGTTCGAACGTCAATCGCTCGCATACCAATAAACATACACATACGTATACACTCATCGATTCAGGCACACATTTCGACAGAACCAAGAATAGAGTCAACAACAAAATTTGTAAATATATTCGCTGTCGTTTATGCAAATGCCAACTCGATTGCACTCTTGCTTAAGTGCGATAAATATCGGTTTTTTTTTTATTTCTCTTTTACAATCAAACTCGTTGTCGTTTCATGTGGGCTTTTGTTGTTGTCGTCGATATGCACCAAACAAGACAAGGTGAATCGGATTGTACGACAGTGGGCGAATAGATACCGAGTGAGAATGAGAGAGAGAGAGAGAGAATTTGATATCGATTCATAATGTGCACACAACGCGGTATTAGAGCCTCTAAGTGCAAAGTGCAAGAAATTTCATCCATTCAATTTATAATGAGAGAAACATAGAAATGAGAGCAAGAGGAAAAGCGTGGAAAAAGGCAAATTTTTTACAGTGTATACAAACTCCAACATCGATTTTCAGACGGTCATATGATTTTACACAATTTAAAAACAACACAAACTGTGCCAATCGATTGTGCTTCTCTCTGCTGGAGTACGGAGCTCTTTTTCTCTATTTTGGGTCAATTGAAGCGCCAATTTCAACATGCTGACTTTCAAATGTTTCATGAAATCAGCAGAAGGTTTCCGATGAATTTTTACAAAATAATGCAAACGAATTCAAAATAAATTGAGAATTTGGCCATTTTTATGTAATTTGATTCACATTCACTCGTTCCCAGGCATTTTTGCTGAACTCTTCTGCTTTTTTTATTATTTAGTTTTTTTGTTTGCATTTTTTCCCTCTCTCTCCCCTCTCCTTTTCTTCTCTTTCCCTCTATCACTCTCGTAGCATACGTCTCTTTCTCTGTCGCTCTCTCCTCTCAAATTTCAATCAATAAAAATCATCTAAAAAAACAAAGACAATTGAATGTATCTCCGATGATATGTCCGTCTGACAAAAATTGTTTTTTTTTTTTTTAAATTACCGGTTCAACTTGAAATTTTATTGTGAATCAATTGAATAACAAGACGACGAATTCGATTTTTCTCTTTCTCACGTTTTGTGTTCAATCGTTTGTTCGTTTAAATTTTGCTCATACATGTCTTGCCTTTTTTTCACTCTATCGCTTTCAATTGGTGTGTTTTTTTTCGGTGGCTATATTTATCTGTCGCACGCATACAAACTGTAAAATGTACGTTCCGATAATATGCCACACGGTACAAAGTCCGCTGTCGAATGTGTTTTTTTTCTTCTCCTCTTCGTCTTTCTTTGCCTCTCGTTCGTTCTCTTGCGCTGTCACCGCTCTCTTTGCTTGTATGGAAAACGTAAACAACAAATGGAACGAAAAAATTAACAAGTGAGACGAAGCCAAGAGCAAAACACAGAATACACGTATATGAATACAAACGAAAGTACGTTCAGGCACGCATACAAACATCGTACAAGCCTCCGTTCGCTATTTCATATACAAATGTGCATACGATTTAATATTATAATTCTTTGTTTTTTTTTCGAATAATTTTTGAATTTGGCGAGCGAAAAAATACGTATGATGTGATCGATTCCATCAACAATTTTTCACATAAAAATGACCATTTGCACGTGCCATCCTAAACATTATTTCAAGAGTTTGTTTTTTTCGTATTGATTGGCTGCAATACATTGATTGGTCCGCGTGTTACACGTTATGTACGAAAAATATGGGTCACAGACCCAATACAGCTCGAAGCGATACAATTGCGTATTGACGGCATTATGTGATGTTTCATCGTCATCAATTTCAAAACATTGTTTTGATATATATACGGCTTTGTTGGGTCTATGTCAGATGATTCAAGAGAATAGATAAAATACACACGACTTATTTACACTATCTACGTCGCATCACATCGTATGCGATTCAGTAAATTTTGCTAAACAAAAAGGCATGCTTCGAATGAAGCTGATAATTTTTTTTTTGTTTACTTATTTGACGATATTTTAAGACGATTTTAACAATGGTGTTTGATTAAATTTTCGCTCAGTTAGCAGTGAAATCGACTGAGTTAATTAGATCAAAGGACAATTATCATTCAGAAATCAAACAAAAGACGGTGATAATTTTTATTGAGATATCAAGTGGAGAGACCGAAACCGAATCGAAAGTGACCTTTGAACACCTCTTGATTCTTGCCAATTTTGCCTTCTATTCGCTATTTGTTTATTTCAAAACACCAAAAAAAGACACACATAGATATTGTTTTGACACATTGTTTTTAAATTTACACTCTATAGAGAACGAGACATACCTCCAATTTTATCACCAATAATTTCACTCTATTTTTGACTCTTGTGGTGTATCACACAAACACATTCACCGAACTCGTTTATCCTCTGGCGCACACACACAGTGGCGGTGATTCGAAGGATTTGCTTGTATGCGAGAAACATATGTGCGCCAAAATTTACACAAATGTCTGATGATAGTGAATGTCAATATTAACTAGAATCTAGTACTTCGTCGGTCTTTCGTATAACTCACGACACATTTGACAATGTCGTGCATGATTCTATTTTTTTATTGACATTCAATAGCGGTATTTTTGAACGTCAATAATTGAATTCATCGACGCCAGTCCACGAAACACGCTTAATTTTTTTTTTAAATTGAGTTCAATTCAAGTTCACCTTGCCGACGTACGTTTAATTGCAAATATTCGAGAACAAAATCGGTTTCGAGTCATAAACGACGAAGACAGATCATATTACGGATTGTTGGATTCTATGGTGTAATAAATTCAACAAAGACATTTAATGACCAAATAATCTTATCAAAATAATAACAAAATCGCCGACCATTGACGTCTGTGACGTTTATGTTCGCAAATATTTTTGGTTTATATATGATGTCTTTCACTCTTTTATGAGTGTCTACGCCTGTTAAAATGAGTTCAATTGAAGAGGTGTCTTTGAATTCTTAATTTCTCTTTGCAAATTTCTCATTCACTTCTTCCGCTAAATTAGATATATTTGAAAGCATTCCTTCTCTCTCTCTCTCTCTCTCTCTCTCTCTCTCTCTTGCATAAAGAGAGCGAGATAGAGTGAGATTGCAACAAATGTTGGGACGTCACATCGAAAATCATTTCGGATGAATGCGTAAAGTTCCACTGAGAAAGTGAGTTTTATTGCAAAAGTTTGCTTTAAAAATGGAGTGTAGGTGGGGGCGAGAGATTGCGTATGGTAATGCCATAAAATTCCGATAGCCGGGGTCAGTGGTATACATATTATAACATTGAAATTAGTCCTAAATAAATCATTAGGAACGGGAGCATTTTGGTTTTTGTGCAAATCGTTTTTATGTGCATAAATGTTGGTTTATGTGCGTATGGCGTCAAAAGGGTCATCAACATTTTCGATTTTATTGCTGTTATTATATGTGGCCGGATGCCGATGTTGGATTGCTTGAACACCCCTCAATAAAGTCGTGTATTGTTTTGTGCGTTATTTGTTTTTATCAAACAATGAGTACTTTGCTTGCGGTTTTATGGACCAAGATTTCAAATCACCAGCGATAATTCGACGACACTATTGTTGGGCGATATAAATGACAAAGTGGATGCGAGATGGAGAGTGGAAGAAAGGCAGACGGATGGAGTATGATGGAGAAAGAATGAGATATAGAGAGCGCGGTGGAGACTGATAGAGAGATGAACGAGAGAGGAACGGTGACAGAACATTCAAAGACTGAAAAAGAGTGAGAAAGAAAGACAGAAATAGAGAAGAAAGAGAGCAAATAAGGGAAAGGAGGAAGGGAGAAAAGAAGCGACAAAGAATGAAAGAGAATGCAAAGGAACCATTTCGATTGTTCCGAAAAAGAACAAGAAAGAGTATTAATACTGTTTGGTTTTGTGTTATTGGTCATCATCAATCTAAATTTGGTGATTTTGTGCGGTAAGAAATGATTTGTTGATTTGTTTGCTGTTTTTGTGATCTCTTTGCCCCCCCAGCCACTCTTTTCCACATCTTCACAATGGAAAAGTATGAAATTCAAACCGCATTCATGTTCGTTGTAAGTGCCTTTGTGTGTTTGTATGTTATCCGAGCCGGAAAAATCACAAATCGTTGTTTTGTGGCCATTGTGAAAGAGTAAACAATCCAAAATGAGATGTTTGTGTGCATTTAAAAGTCGTCAATCCGTCGAACCGAAGTGGATACATTTTGGTTTAAGCGTTTATATGTGAAAGATGCTGGGTAAGAAGGGGTATTTTCAATGCGACGCAAACAATATGACGGCGAAGTCAAGTTTTGGTCGTAAAATACATGCCCATTTTTGAAAAGAACAAATGTTTCGGAAATTCTCAGGCCGCTTCATTTTAATTTAAAGCACGTCGAGCCTTCCATTGTTTCCGTTTCTCTCCGAAAAATACTTTTTTATTGCCCAAGTTGTTGCGACCAGAGTTGGTGCGCTTAAAATTTGGCCATAAAATACACACGCTTCATGCAATACAATAAACCGAATCCCATTGTGCACAACACACACAAAATCGATAAAATGTGCGGCATTGTGAAACCGCACAATGTTTGAACAATTAAATGACATCAACGGCAAAATTATTGGGACGCGCAATGAATTTCGACACCGGCGTCAACTACGCACTCTTCACATTTTCCGGTTGTAAAAGCACACCAAACAACAAACAGCTGATAAGCATACTTTATGCATCCATCGTAAAACAAAACAAACGAAGAGACGGTAGCTTGCAGCACAGCCACCTTTGGTGGTGCAGGCAAACAAACGACCATGCGATGATGATAAAACACATCAAAGAATACCAAAATATCTCAAACACAGACAATGGCGCACTGTTCACATATTTTCCGGCTATGTTTCATTTGCATTACTTCATCTTGATTATCATTTCCACGCAGCATTTGTTATAACATGTTCCAAGTTCCATATATACATTTTTTATACGCAACGCTAGGCGCTTTTCAATGAACCATTCTTCACATTCGCACAAAACAATGGTAGCTAAACAACGATTTTAATCGTGTTTTTTAACAAATTTATTGCCACAAACAAAAGACCAACATCCAACACGTTCTATTTTCAATGAAAAATTCAGGGATTCTATTTTCTTCTCGAAATGGACATGCCTCTTATCACAGCCAAAACAGCACGATATTATGAACACAAGCTTTGGGTATTAAAACTGAATGAAGCGATTTTTAAACTAAAGTGGTTGAATTAGAGCCCAATAAAACGATAGACTAAAAATCTAGAAAAATCATTTATGAGTAACTTTATTTATAAATAAATACCCATCGTATCTAACTGCCGCGTCCAATGCCTGGATGTTAAAAACAATGAAATGCCACCAGAATGACTTGAAACAATTTTAAACGCTCTGAAAAAAGGTAAACAACGAGTTTTTCAGAAATACAAAGACGAATCGATGAAAGACATTCCATCAAATGTTATGATCAATAAATGGATGCTACAAGACGATATCATTGCCCATTCGAAAGTTTGTCTCTTCATAAGCCCTGGTAAGTTAGCATTGGAATTGCTCCGACTTAAAAGAAAAGCATTGAGCATTTTGTATGGTTCCATCATGAAGTACCGCAGTTAATTATTCCATTCTTTCTCAATCAGTTAAAGAACACAAATCGTTTTTGAAAATTTTCGAAAATTTTGGTAGGAAAATAAGCTTCACAAGTTTTTACGGTGACTTACTGCAACCATACATAGATCATAGTTTCAGTTTATTCCCAAAAACTCGGTTTCCATGCGGAAAAGTTAGCTTTCGTACGTAAGTCACTTTTTTTTTGATTTTTTTTTTGTTATAATCCGAAAATCCTGGCCATGAAACGAGCAAACTAAGGATTAATTTACTCTAATGTCATCTTGTTACGGCTTTCAACTTTTTAAACGAATAAAAGAAGTTCAAAAAATGTCTCCCGTTCATTTTAAGTTTTTATAATTTTATTGGTACTAATAAAATGTTTTCTTGTTTCTGACAAATGTATTTAACATATTACCTAGTTGTCTGATAAAGATCCAAGGTCGAATATTTATATTTAGGTGCATCATTAAAAAAGAGTTCCTAATTAGTCTGTTTTAATGCTTTCAAAATGGCTTCTTGTTGTTGTTTTTAGATTTTATTTGTTGCAATAGAATAACTTCAAATCCTTAAAAGACATTTTTCAAATTCAGTTGTGTGAACGTCTTTAAGAAAACAACTTGTGAAGTTCAAGTGAATTCAATTGTATACTTTAGTTATCACAATATTTGAATGTTTTGTGAATTTTGTTAATTTTTTTGCAAATTATTATATTAAATTGTTTGAGTCTCGAAAACTAAACCGAAATCAAAATTAACCTTTAAATTATAAATAAAACTAACCTTTAAATTGTCGCCGAGAATCATATGATATCATAAGGAACGGTTCGAAAATGTCGACCGATGATTGGACGCAAGAACTGGACAAAATGTTGATGAACATTGAACTCCAGGCGATGTCTTCGCTACGAAATATTAGTAACTGTTTCGAACAATCAGGTCAATCGTTCCACGAAGCACATCAGACATATTGTCTAAAGCGCTCAATTGACAGGTAATTCATCCTTGAATTTTGTATTTTATGCCCTTTATCAATGATAATAACTTCTTTTCTTTAGATTAAATGAAGTTTATTCCAAATTTGAATGTGAATTGTCGTTCAGTAATCGTCAAAGAGGAAGTGTCGCTCCAATTTCAACCGATAATAACAACTCAAATGCAATTATTAAAATCAGCAATGATGAAGACTCAGATGAAAGACCTAGCACCAGTTCGCAACCATCCAGAGAGACTGCGTTTCGAAATGTTGATAGTGAGATTAAAACCGAGGATGATTATAATGAAAGCGATGATCAAGCTTTTGTCGGGGGAATACCCAATGTGGAAACAAAAGAAGAGGATATGGAAAGTGATGAGATTCCGATAGTTCGTGTTTCGGCCAATCAACTGACCCGTGCATATAAGATAGAGTCAAACTGCTCTGAACGTGTCAAAATCGAAAGTGACGAAGATCATAACAAAGAAAACATTGAAAATGTAGCGAAGCGTGTACGATCGAATTCTGCGAATATTTTAGATAAAATTGGTGACAACAACGAAACAAATCTATGTGAACCATACGGGAAGAAATCAGGAGTATCTCAGGGAAGAGTCGAATCGAAAGATGCAAGTTGCGAAATCAGTGAAGAAAATAACGCAAACAAGACGAACGAAGTGAACATTTCCAAAGCTGCTGTTGAAATGAATTTAGCAAGAAAAGTGAGAAGTGGTCAGTCGACACTTGAGAAGTGGTTTTCTCAAAAAAATAAAAGTAATGAAAACAAAGAGAAATCCAATAGAGAAATCGCTGGCCAAGCAGAGAAAAAGAAAACGGACGTTCAGAGATCCCACAAAAAGTTAGAAAAAATCTCGAAAATATCTAGTAATAGGAAAATTCACAGTCGAGTAAAACCACACGAATGTGGTCGATGTAAGAAGAGATTTACACATAAGAGAGATCTCACAATGCATATTCGAATTCACACTGGAGAAAAACCATATCAATGTGGTCAATGTATGAAGAGATTTAGTCGTCAGAGTCATCTCAATGTGCATATGAGGACTCATAAGGATAGTCTATTCCACTGCTCAGGGTGTCATCGTGGATTTTCACAAAATATTGAAAAAGAAGCACATGAAAGGGAGTGTAAACGACGTCGATATGAGTGCTATCTTTGCAACAGAGACGAAAATAAGAAGAAGTTTGCTATGGTTTTTTCAAAGAGTGCGGTAGAAATTCATATGAGAATACACACTGGAGAAAAACCATATAAATGTGATCGGTGCAAGAAGGGATTTATTCGTAAAAACAATCTCGCTGATCATTTGATGATACACACCGCAGAAAAACCATATAAATGTGATCAGTGTAAGAAGCGATATGGTCGTA